GTCATAAAAGTTCACGTCTTCAGCAAATGCAATTGTTGTACACCATCAAAGATATTTGAATGACTCAGAAATAGGCTTCAGTGTGCATGTATTATTTTTTTCAGCTGCAGTTTATTTTTTACATTTTCAGCATGACTGTTGGTAACAAAGAAAATATTCCAATAGCATGAGGTATTTGAAATATGGTCAATAAGAACCCATTCATTCTGTTTAAAGATTTATATGATAAGGATTGGCTTGGGATAGAACTTCTGAAATACTTTTTCTTGAACAAAATAAATTTTCAGAACTTTTTTTTTTAATAGTCAAAACAAGATTCAATGAATATAGTAACTCGATGAATCAGAAAGCTGAACATTTTTTTCTAGATAAAAATGACAATAGTAGGAATTTCCATGGATATATAGTACATTATGTAAAATTCAATTATCTATGTTATAGTTTTTAAAATGTATCATGCACATTTTCCGTCAATGGCTCATTGTTGTCCTTAAAATGATACAAAATTGTTACTATGACATAGCTTAAGAAATCTACAAATGGTCATAAATATAGAATTTCTTTTAAGTGATGTTTTATTAAGAAAAGAATTCCTCAGTTTTATTCATCTAGCAAAAATATATGCATTTCTGTGATGGTTGTAGGGTAGGCCACCAATTTAAAATCCAGCCTTTTTGACCTGAATCTTTTATAAATGTTAGGGAATTGGAAGATAAATATATCTTTCAAACATTTCTGATTTAAAGGCAAGAACCAGTTTTTAAAAAGATAAATATAACAGGCAGCTCATTGTACAACTTTTAGGTATAATTAGCTGATAAATCACAGTTCTTATTTTGCAGTACGAAAGGCATAATCCAAACAGCTAAGCATTTTTAACACCCCTAGTTTCAGAGTGTGACTCAAAACATAGGCTTAAATGCATTTTAGTAAAATACACAATACTCAGATATGGTTGAAATGTGTCCTTTTTTCCCTCTTTATCTGACAAGCTTAAAGCTTTTTTTTCTTTTTCTTTCTAGCAGACAAAAAATTAAAACATTGAGGTCTTTACAGTTTCACAAGGGATTGTTGTTGTTTTACTATAACATATAACTGTAATATTCCTTAGCTATTTCCACAACCAGTCATGATAATCAATGCAACATTATGACCTCAAATGTGCAATATTCAGGAACTCTTTAAAAATCTTTCCCTCACAATACTATATATGTAAGTTCTCTTGAAGGTGTATGATAAAAATGAATGAAATTCTAATATCTTAACTTTCATGTTTAAAATAGCTTTTCTAAACTGATGCCTACCTTATAAGATTTACACTTTTAGACAGACAAACAAGGGCTGACCAAACTGTATGACTAGCATGCTTACAATACAAATCATGCAACATGGCTTGTATGTGATAAACAAGAACAAAGAAGCCCAATCTAAACTCTTCAGATTCCATTAGTCAGACATTATAAGTATGATCATAAGTATATGAAAGGCATCAATTTGCATATATCTTCTCAAACCTATTTCTATCTGTATGGAATATCTAACTTCCATGTCCAGGAGCTATCTATTCCCCCCCCCTTTTTTTGGATTTACACAGTATTCCCAATTTCTAGTCTTATATGCAAATGGCAAGAGCTTCCAAATTGAACTTAGACAACTGAAGTGCTTGATGTTAGAAGAAAACAGAAAAACAAATGTTAAAGAAATCTTGTGGAATGAAAACAACCAAGGGCATATGCATATACAGGAGAGAGCAAAAGGCAAGGGCACAAGTACAATGAATCAGGAGGGTCAGTTCTTTCAATAAGGCTTAGACATTATTCCAAACTACAATAATACAATTTCCGATGGAATATATACAATACTTTAGATTAGGAAAGTTGAAGTGAATATTACAGTGTTTATAAAAGAACCAGAGATGTTGTGACAGTCAAGAGCACTTCCTTCAAAAAACAGAATTTTTGATCAAATGGGAAGAATGGAAAAGAGCATAAACTACCACAGATAAAAGATGCAAAAAGACCACATAGCAAAAACATTTTAGAAAACCATTAGCAAAACATTCTTCAAATACATTCAGAATAATAAATTAACCAGGCCATGTAGCTGTTGCATGACAGGGAAATTAAAGATGTGCTAAAGAATAATAATAAAACAGTACCGAAACTGAAGGATTATTGGCTAATGGTATTCACTTCTGAAGATATAGAACAGATGCCAAGCTGGCTTTTTCAAAGGAAAAATTATTTATTGTTATTTATTAAATTTGTTCTCTACCCATTTCGCTGCAAGGCGATATCAAATTGGGTGAGTTGAGACCAATGATATAAACAGAGATGAGTTTATAGTTCAGATTGACAGGCTGAAACATCCTCAGTTCAGATAGTCCAGAAGTTGTTGAATAATTTAGGAAACTTTATTTTTATAAAAACTAAGCATCCCTTTCATCTTAATCTGTTGTAGATATGCCACAGATTAGTATCAGTTTCCTGACTAGATATTAAACAAAGTGATTTTTAAATCCATTTTTAAAAAAAAAGGATTGAGGGGCAGGAAGGGAAACTAAGCTAGTTTAACATTTGTTTGAGGAAAGTGGTTAAAATATTAAAGACAAAGTAAGCAAACATATGAAAGAATAAACCTTGTGCAAATAGAGATCTTGCCTCATTACCCTTCCAGAAATTTTGTAGGTATCTTCAAACATGTAAAAAGGGATTCAATAAATAAAGTACACTTTTGAGTTTTAAACAATCTATGCCAAAGTCTCTCATCACATGGGATAAAGTGGGTTAAATACCATAACCCAACAGATACTATGTACTTTGATTTTATAAAAGGTTTTAGTAACAGTCCTCATAAAAGGCTCCTGAGTGAAACCTAGTTGTCATGGCACAGAGGCACTATTATAGGCTGCCAGCTGATCCAAACCCTCCAGACAATAGGTTCTACAGGCAGTTCACATGCTGCAAAATGGAATTTCTTAAGGATGAGGGTTGTTCCAGTGATTTTTAACTTGTACATAAATGATCCACAGATATCTCTATCATCCATCTATCCATCCATCCATCCATCCATCCATCCATCCATCTATCCATCCATCCATCCATCCATCCCTATCTATCTATCTATCTATCTATCTATCTATCTATCTATCTATCTACTATCATCCTACCTACCTACCTACCTACCTACCTACCTACCTACCTACCTACCTACCTACCTTCTCTCATCTTCTCTATTTAACTATTTATCTATGTAATACGTATATATGTTGATACATTCAGGTCAGTCTTGACTCTTGGCAGCTGCCTGGAGAAGTCAATGTAGGGTTTTTGTTTTGTTTTGGCAAGATTTAGCTATGACCGAATGATAGTCCCAGTTGCTTATATATTCAACTGGGATTAGTGCTATTAGTCTCTAGCCTAGCATTTTAACCACTTTCCCAAATTGGCTCTTTCTAAACTATCTAGTATGATAAAATTATAAAAGAACTATGAAAAACTTGAAAAGAATCCCATTAAACTGGATTAAAATGCTAAGAGCATTTTGGATTTGAAATGCTAAGAGCAATTCAACAAACAAGTATAAAGAAATGAAGGCTGGCATAAAAATTCTAGTGAAATCAAAATAGAAGAAGATTCAGGACTCACAGAAGGATTTTTCTCCCTGGCTATATTAGGAAATTTGCCACCAGTCTTTGTGATAACACAACTAACAGGTGGTTTTAAAACACAACTAACGGGTAGTTTTCAAAGAGGACTGCACAGGATTAATTGAAGTGCAAGCTATTAATTGCTACTAACACTCAAGGCTGTGTACACAAACAGCATGCTGGTTGCTATGCTATAATAGATAGTAGAAAGGGGATATTGGTCCATTGCTCCCAACTTACACTTATGAACTTTCCAGACACATCCAGTTAGTTATCCTGTGACTCTGAATACTGATGAAATGGGACTTCTAATTGCTTTCCCGTAACCCAGCTATTTATTTGTTCAAATTATACTTTAGCTAACAAAAATTTAAACAACTATTTGTAACAGTGAAGCTAATTGCAACCTGTTCTCAAAGTTGAAATATAATTGGAAATATTAAATGCATATAATGTATAAATGATTCTTAAATTTATTTTGATCATAGTATATGCATTAGAAAATTAAGTAGATTTTTTTGAAGTGTTTTCAAGGGAAAAATAATATGCGAGTATAAGACGCACTGGATTATAAAACGCACCTACCTTTTTTGGTGAAGAAAAGAAGAAAAAGAAATCTGCCTCTGCCTCTGAGCAATTTTGCCTCATTGCAGCAAACAGCCTGTTTTACTTTCATTTTTGCATAGCTTGATTAGCACAAGCGAGAAAAAAAATCTGCTCCAGCAATTTTCTTCCTTGCAGCAAGCAGAACAGCTGAGAGCAAGACAGCTGAGTGTCGGGAGGCTGATCCAATCAACTTGTGCTAATTAGGCTGTGCTGAAGCTAAAAGGAGCTGCTTTTTCTTGCTGTTTGCTGTAAGGAGGTAACTGCTGGGGGAGCAAAGAGTGGGGGCCAGTGGGTGGGCGGGGCTGTATTCGGTGTATAAGATGCACCTAAATTTTCACCCCCTTTTAAGGGGGAAAAAGATGCGTCTTATACTCCGAAAAATACGGTACATTGCAAAAACAGACTCTTTTAAAATTAAAACTATGTCAAACTTTCTCATGTGCAAAATTAAGATTTAGGTGCAGTTGAATCCAAAAGTGACATGGAAATCACTTTTCTGTGCTGCTTAAAATTTCAATAATATTTGTATGGAATAGTATAAATAATAATTTTAATTACTATTGATACTATAAATTCTATTTGTGAATTTCAAGAAGAAAAATTTGAACTGGTTCTGACTGGCAAAATGAATGAATATTTAGAGTCAGAAAAACATCAATGATAATATCAAAGAAGAACAAAAAAGAAAGGAAGAAAGAATTAAAGAATTAAAGAAGCTATTTTCCAAATCAAATTCTCACTTTATTTCTAGAAAAAAAAAATGGTTCCCTATCTCTAATTTTTTGGACTGAAAAATATGGCTGACAAATTTTTCTTGAAACAATTTATATATAGCTGATGTAGTGAACAAGACTCTTGAATCCTCTCACTGGACTTCCTGACACAATATTATATTCCTATGATAATATTTAATTTCTTTTTTCTAATCTTTATGATACAATAAATAATTTACCTTCATTTCTATCTCCTGCTTGATGTCAGAATAATACTGAATAGCTAGTATCCTGTTGTAGTAATAAAAATTTACATGTAGGACATACAAGTTGGCTCCAAGTTGTGGGGGTGGGGAAAATCACTATGACACAGCATTTGGACTTACTGAAAATAAAATAATAAAAATGCTCCAATATAATAACATGTTTATGATTCAAAATAGCACTAGCTCTTTACCATCTCCAATTTGTACTTAATTCGATTTGGATAACAAGACCTTTTGTAGAAATAATGCAATATCTAGTGGGATTTCTGATGCAAAGTTTTATAACTATTGCATCCTCATTTTATATGGCCAAGTTCTGGGACTAGCTTTTATCTCCTTTTCTTTTGAAAGTGTCATTGGAAACTGGGATCAGTCCCCATGTCTGAATCTCTATCAGACGTTCATGAACTGGTGCCACAAGAGAGCTGAATTTCTGCACTTTGCATATGATGGTTCCAGCTTGCTGAACAAGTATGCACATTGCCGGGGCTTTACAGTCTGCTCCTTTGTGCAGAAATAAAATATGGAACCCTTTAATTATAAATTAAGCAGATGTCTCTCCAGATTTTAATGCAACAAGTTCAGAGTCATGTATGTACTTTCCATTCAGATGCTCACTGTTGGAATCACGATGATATAGATAAACAGGAACCTCCGTGATAGATGTTGCTGTGTAGGACGTAGATCGTGTAGAGCAATGATCACGTCGCCTTTGACCCCACTGAGTTTTATACTGCATCCATTGCCGTTTCAGAGTTCCTTGGACCTATAACAAACATATACGAGTTTCTTAGCAAATACCTGTGAATTAATTTTAAGGGGAAAAAATGGCTGATTCCTGAAAAACATATTTAGAATGGAAATCACTTCAGTCAAAATACTGCTCAGTTTTCTCAAATAGTCTTCCCATTTGTTACACTATAACTCCCCTAGCAATGATCACACTTTGTATGGATTATAGGAGTTGATATCCCACATACCAGCCTAGGGGTGGTTGCCATAATCAATAAGTGACCTCAATAACAACTTCAATGTGATATAAACAAGCGCATGTGGAATTCAGTTCATACAAAAAGATTGTTTCTTGCCTCCTTCCTAAAACATGCTCTTCCCTTGTTAGAATATACTTAGAGATCAGAAACTCTCCCAAACTGTGTAGTATATGCTTCTGGAAATTGCATATAGAAAGAACAAGACATCAGGATCAATCCTTCTTGTGCCCGAACAAATGTTCCTTCATTCAAGCAGGGCTTCTGCCTTCTATTTTGCCTTTCTTGGAACCAACGGTGCCAGAAGCTATGCTTCTTTGTGAATTTTTGGGGAAAGAAAATATTAGCTATCCAATATATGATTCTCAGAGGAAATTTAATGCTCCTTGTGGTATTGCTTTTAATATCTTTTAACCTGCAAATTGCTAGAGAGAGTTAGTTATTGTCCAGAATCTAAATAGTAGTAAAATATTTTTTTTTCTGCTCAAAAAAATAAAGGGAACACAAGCAGAAGACATCCGAGATCTGAATGAATGAAATAGCCTTATTAAATAGTTTGTTTGTTACATACAGTAGTTTTGTGTTCCCTTTAGTTGTTTGAGCAGTGTATAAACTACTGTATGTAAAGAACAAAGTATTTAATAAGGCTATTTCATTCATTCAGATCTCGGATGGCTTCTGCTTGTGTTCCCTTTATTTTTTTGACCAGTATATATAAAGAAAACAGCAAGTTCACACAGCTCAAATTAAGCCCAAGTGAATCTTTGAAAAGAGGTCAAAGGAGTCCCACAAAAGTCAGTTAACTAGCTAGCCCTGCTAAAGAGTTTTTTTTTAAAAAAAAATAAGGTAGCATTATAGCTAAAATCTATGTCTTGTGACACAGCCAACAACCATTCAGTGTGGAAGCAATATAACATAGTCTCATACAATGGAATTTTGAAATCTTTCATATATGGCTTTTATTGTATTATTTTCCTGGTTCTCTTTCCAAATATTTTTATATGAGCCATACATGCCAACATCCACTTATGCATCCATTCTGATTTGTAATTCTTGTTACAGATGTGTTTTATTCTTCAAATCTAGATTCCTGTTCCAATGTCCCCAAAGTCATGGACAATAAACAACCATTCAGCAAGTCCAAAACTTTCAATATTTAGGAGCTTCGGGAATCAGAAATGTCCATTGTGATTAACTCAAAGGGCATCCAGACCATTCTCAGCTACTCAAGCTTTCTATTTTAATTAACTATTTTAATCAAGTCCTTCCAGCTGCTAAAGCTTATGCCCACTTATTGCCTGAGATTCAGTTAAAGCCATACAATGAGATGAAAATATTAGGCAAAGTTCAACCCAAAGTTTGGAAAATATTTCCCAGATCCTGTGCTGCATTTCAAATGTAGTATTTAGACAAGAAGAAAGAGCCACTAGAGTTGAATCTGGCTTTTAGATTATTATCTTTAATTTTTTTAAGGATTTGTTATACAGTTTGATTGGCCCTTTAGTTATAGGAGACATTTTTTGTTCCACATGAAAAAAGAAACATTACTAAGAAGTTATAATTCTGCGGATTTGCTTGGGATACCTCTTTGCCATTTGAATTAGAGGAAGCCAATTCAATTTGGAATTAAAGGAATTAAAGGAAGGCCATTGGTAAAGTGTAGAAGGCAAACTGATTACATAGCTTGCACCTTTGATGTATTCATTAATAACCAATTTCGAAAATATAAACCAGTCAGCCATGTGGACAAAATCATTGTTCCAAATTTAGAAGAGCTTCATACTTCACTCACTTTAACACTCTCTCCAATGTTGGAAGTGAACAACAGGAAAATTAATTTTTCCAAATGATTGTGCCCCATTGATGCAGGGGCAATTCAATCCAAAGTGTGTTATATGGCCAATTCTAAGCGACACTCATTTGCAATTGATCTCTCTATAAATTCACAGGACATTCTGACATCCAGTCAACCAACCAATATTAAATTCTTGGCTCCACATCAGGGTTTTGATACAAACAAAGGAGGGAAATCACGCAGAGCATGGTTTCCAATCGCCCCCCCCCCGCCAACCAATCTCTTAACAATAGGTTCCCTTATGACAAGCTTAGAATGCAGAAGAGTTCAGTTTTCCCAGGTGACAGTCCAACCGCTTCTCCCACAGAGATCTGATAATTTTAAAAATTATTTTCCCCTTCCAAAGAATACATCAACATCTGGGCCATTTTTAGCTCAGCTGTTTTGCTGGTTTCTTCTACCAACCAAATTTGGTTCCATTCTGTTTAGTGTTCAGGGTGTTAGCCTGCTGATGGGCAGTCTTAAGCTCTTTCACATACTTTCTTGCTAACATTGTATTGCAGTGAATAAAATTGGATTCTTCAGGCTATTCGTTTTTAAAGAAATGCTTTTGGCTTTTTCTGAAATGATATCATCCTTGGTTAGTAATAACTCACTCTCATTTATCCTCTATTAATAATAAATTGTTAAAAATCAGTCTGAAACAACTTTCTCTTCCTAAACCCCAAATCTCAGTGATTATCTCCTCCTCAACTTTAAAGGGTAGCTAGCTTCACAGAATGGTCAGGCTGCATAAATCTGACAACACCGAAATTGTAACATAAAGAATATCTATATAGAGCATGTAGATTAAACTTTATATTACAAATGTATCTGGAATGTTTATAGAAAGTATCTATATCCAGTTCTCTACTGGTTCTTCCTTTCAAAATGATTCCGTAAAAGAGAAAAATGGGCAATGATCATAATAAGCAACATGAATTTCAGGCTGGAAACTATGAAAAAAGACATCTTTCTTTAAATTGAAGAAGTATCTTATTTAGTTTCATGCTTCTTCACTAGGTGGGATTGAATTTAGGCTATTACACAAGTTTGCAAGTTAATTGACACGAATTTCACAGGTTTGATAGCCCTGAAAAATTTAGGCAACTTATTTCTGACTCAGTTGCCACATATATGAGATCTCAGAGTCATTGCATTTCTATGGTTATATTAGCCTTTGAAATGATTGGCCATTAAAGGAAATTCTGACCTCACTCATTTTAAACTAGTGAGTCTTTAAAAGAGAAAGAATGCTTTATAGACATGAAACTGTTTAATTCTTATTTTTTTTTGGTAAATGCCAAAAGTCATAATTGTGTTTTCCCTTTTTTTTTCTGTAAAGCAGGCTTTTCCTGATTATTGCAGGAAAACTTACAACCTATAGAAGTTTGAGATATCAAAGTTCTTTTCAGTCATTATTTCTAAGTGTTTCTAGAGATGATGAAAATAGAGATGATTTTTACATTACTTTGTGGACTAGAGGAATGAAAACATATAGAAGTGCCATTAATTATATCAGAGTCCAGTAAACTTATTCTTATAGAATAGAATAGAATAGAATAGAATAGAATAGAATAGAACAGAACAGAACAGAACAGAACAGAACAGAACAGAACGGAACAGAACAGAACAGAACAAGAGTTGGAAGGGACCTTGGAGGTCTTCTAGTCCAACCCCCTCCCTACACCACTTCAGACAAATTGTTATCCAATATCTTCTTAAAAACTTCCAGTGTTGGACCATTCACAACTTCTGGACGCAAGTTGTTCCACTGATTAATTGTTATAACTGTCAGAAAATTTCTCCTTAGTTCTAAGTTGCTTCTCTCCTTGATTAGTTTCCACCCATTGCTTCTTGTTCTACCCTCAGGTGCTTTGGAGAATAGTTTGACTTCCTCTTCTTTGTGGCAACCCCTGAGATAGTGGAACACTACTATCATGTCTCCCCTAGTCCTTCTTTTCATTAAACGGTTCCTATGTTTTAGCCCCCAGTCCCCTAATCTTCTTTGTTGCTCTTCTCTGCATCCTTCTAGAGTCTCCACATCTTTTTTACATCGTGGCGACCAAAACTGAATGCAGTATTCTAAGTTTGGCTTATCAAGGCATTATAAAGTGGTATTAACACTTCACGTGATCCTGATTCTATCCCTCTGTTTATGCAGCCTAGAACTGTGTTGGCTTTTTTGGCAGCTGCTGCACACTGCTGGCTCATATTTAAATGTTTGTCCCGTAGGACTCCAAGATCCCTCTCACAGTTACTACTATTGAGTGAGGTACCACATATACTGTACCTGTGCATTTTGTTCTTCCTGTCTAAATTCAGAACCTTACTTTTTTCACCATTGAATTTCATTTTGTTAGATACTATGTTTCCCCGAAAATAAGACCCTGTCTTATATTTTTTTGAACCCTGAAAAAACGCTTGGCCTTATTTTCAGGGAGGACTTATTATTTTGGGGAGCAAGATGGGTCTCCCCTTGCCATCTTACCTGATTTCCAGCTCTGCGTTTAAGTATTTTCGGAGGGGGGGTTATTTTTCAGGGGGAGGCTTATTTTAGCGCATGCGCACAAAAGCCCGATTGGGCTTATTATCAGGAGATGTCTTATTTTCAGGGAAACAGGGTAGTGCCCAATGTTCAAGTCTGTCAAGATCATTCTGTATTTTAAGCCTATCTTCTGGAGCTATTCTTGGCTATTCCTGCCAGTTTGGTGTCATCTGCAAATTTGATGAGTTCCCTATCTATCTCCTTATCCAAATCATTGGACAGACTCAGTCCTGTCTTTAATTTACTGTCTGGTGTTTCCTTCAAATTATGGCCTGACATGTGAGGTTTCTCAAACAGAACAAAAAGGAAAAAAAAAACACCTAGAAACTTGAGACTTACCAGTTCAATAGAGATATAAGCAGTGCTATGAATTAAGTAGTATAGCGTTTTTGAAC